CAGTCTTCTTCGTTTGCTTGGTACAATCGGGCGACAGCAGCAGTGCTGGCAGCAGAGCAAGGGAAAGGGGTCAGGTAGGACAGGTGGGGAAAGGAGAGCGCTGGAGAAAGAGGAAAGAGGTGCTGAATGGAGAAAAGACAGCAGGTAGGTGAGAATACAGCAGCAAACACTCACTGCTGTTTGAAGAATTCCAACCTGTTGTAGTGAGAAGGTAAATTCTGTAGGACTGAACTGGGGCTCTCCAAGGAAGAGCATCTACTTTACTTCCCTGCTGTAAAGAATTGAAATAGTGTGGAAATTAATATATAATCAGATCCATAATTACAGTCTAAACAGTATAAAACACAAATGATATTAGGCAGGTTGGGAAAATTACAGTTTTCCTCAACTCCTTGTGTTTCCCCTTCCAACAACTGTTAAACTCCCACTCTTGAAGTTCATAACTTTCTTGTTACCAGGTGCTACCACTCCATTTTTTCCCTCCAGAAAGTTGCTGGAAATGCAACAAGAGCCTCCCAGATCTTCTTACTTCCTAAAGGAGAGAGAAAGCCAGTCCCTTTCTAACTTTGTTCTCCTGCTTTGCCCGGGAAATTTAAATGGTTCCCACCACATGTGCTCCAGTTCTGTGCTGAAACAGAAATGTAAAATGTACCTGTATGAAACACTTCACTGACCAGCTGCCCTTGGCCTTGCACACCCACATGCCTGAGACACCCGTCTCCCAGATGTCTTCCAACACAAGAAACATTATGTGTGCACTCCAGGGCTGCAGGACAGGGTACAATCAGCAAGTACTGCAAGTCACTGTCCTTGGGTCACCAGATGTCACCCACAGCACCTCTGCCTTCAGAGGTGTCACCCTAAAACATTTATTTCAGGGTGATCAATGATGGAAGGATGAGCTAAAGGTATAAAATCTCCCTTTTTCTCTCAGAGGCCACAGCAACATTCAGCCCTACTTCCATGTCAAGCTCAGGTCTGCATTTTAACGTATACATTGAGGAGACTGTGTCAAAAAAAAAATCTAATATTATGCTTTTGAACAGAGAATTTACCTAAGTAAATAATTATTTTTAAACCCAAGATTTAAGCAGCTTTAGTATTCCACATTATGCTAATGTTTGACAATTACTAAGTGTGGGTATCAGCCAGCATTTTTTTTTAAGTTTAATTTAAAGCAATTTGACATGGAAAGGTTATTACTTTAGTTGCCAATAAAAGCTGTACTTTTAACATAAGTGTACACCAAGCCCTAGGGTATGTGACTATTATCTTTTCTGCAATTATGTGGTGTTCTACATAAATGTTTAAAAAAAAAAAAACTTAGAAATATCAAAAGTACTAACTTAGCTGCAATAGAAAAGTTGAATAGCAGAGCCGGGAAGCCCGTCTCCCGCAGACACAACACAGGTTGAGGTTTCCTCCTAGAGGTACCGCCGGGAACGGCGCCTCCGCCCGCACGGCATCACACCGCATCCCCCCGCTCCGCCGGGGCCGAGCGCACGATGCTGCCCTGAACGACCTCGCTCAACACAGATTCTGCAGCTTCACCCGCATTCCTCAGAAAGCTGTTTTTTCCCCCCCCCAAATATTTCTTTTTTTTTTTTTCTCCCCCACAAATATTTCCCTTTTTTTCTTTCCCCCCGAATATTTCCTTTTCTCAGGTCTTCAGTGCTAAGAGGGGAAAAGGCTTTTCTCACATCCTGCTTCACAGAATCACAGAGTGGTTCTGGTTGGAAGGGACCACAGTCTGTCTTCTGGTCTAAGCTCCCTGCTACAGCAGGGTCATTCCAGAGCACATGGCACAGAATTGTATCCAGATGGTTCTGGAATATCCCCAGTGAGAGAGACTCCACACCCTCTCCGGTCTCTGTTCCAGTGCTTGGTCACTGTAAAGGTTAGAAGTTCTTCCCCATGTTCAGGTGGAACTTTCTGTGCATCAGTTACTGCCCGTTGCCTCTTGTCCTATTGCTTGGCACCATCAAGAAGAGCCTGGCTCCATCCTCTGGTACACTCCCTTCAAATACTTACACACACTGCTATACACAAATCTGTGAGCATTGCTTTTCCCTCATAAATGGAAATTGTGTCTTCCACTTGCTTTAGGGTGGTGTCTCCAGAAGAGACTCCATGGCTGTAGCAATGAGGCTCCCTCTCAGCACAAGGCAGCATGCAGGGACCCCCACACCCAGGCAGTAGCCACCTCAAAGATCCCAACCCAAATGCCAAGTTTGGTCCTCATCAGACAGAAGCACCAGTGCATGGGCACAGCCCTGCCCTTGAGTGGAAATCAGTCATTTCCCTTGGGAAATTACATTTGAGACCATGAAAAGCCACAGTGCCATTGCTGAAGCTCCCAGACAGATGAAGCCCCGGGTTCAAGCCCAGGAAGGATGGGCCTTTGAGTAACCTGGTGTGGGGGAAAGCACAGTAGGGGGGTTAGAACTAGATTAAGGTCCCTTCTAGCACAAACCCTTTTATGATTCAACAGGAGTGTGGAGGAGAGAGATGAAAGTGTGTCCTTAGGAAGATACAGGCCAGCTCACACATGCAGGGGGAGAGACACTTCCCTCCTGACATCTGCTCTCCTCCAGGATCTGTTTCTTGGGCCAAAGTGAGGATGCCATGAAAGCCAAAAGTGCTGAGGGGTATCTGTCCATCATCCCAGGGACTTGGCAGCAAGTGCTCTATTCCCTTGGGCTGCTTAGTCTCGAGTCCCTCCTGTGTAATGAAGGGAGAGATGGCCCCTTCCATCAGCCTCTCTGGGCCAGCATGGGGCAGAGCCAGGGCCCACGTGGGCACATGGCAATGTCTTCAAACACATCAGCCTGTGCAGGTAAACTCACTCCTCTGCTCTGCCCGCTCAGCCCTTCAAAGGCAGAGCCTCGGGGCAAACAGAATGGGGTGAGACAAACTCTAGTCCAAACACCAGAGGCTGCTTACTTGGGAGCTAATTTTGATATATGAGGTTGGGTTTTTTAAGTCTAGGTAGTTTTTTTCTGTCTGGGTTTTGTTTTTAACTTGAAGCTTGTGAAAGTCACAGCATGACCCTTGCTGGCTAAAAGGATTCTTCTCAAAACCAGTTGGCACCAGAGCAATGAACTTCAGCTTCCTCCAATGCCCTGCCAGTGCCTTTTGGTGCTGAACTGCAACCATCTCCAGACAGGGAGTGAGAATTCAGCCTCAGTAGTCTGTTCAGCCCCAGCAGTCTGTTGAGCCCTTTGTCTTTCTACTGAGAAAGTGAAAACACTGGTCACAGTTCCAGTGCCAACTGCAGTTAGTGTTTCAAATTAACTAAAGTTCATTATTTTACACTTTAGGTAGGAGTTACAACAAACTGTTCACCAGCAGTCCAAGCAATAGTATACAAGCCCCTCTAGGATCCCTTGGAAGAGCTCCTGATGAGTTCACCAACGTTTGCACATTAACCTCTGGGTGAAAAGCCAGCCAGAGGGATGTGAGAACTCCACCGAGCCCTCCAGAGCATGACACAAAATGATGCAAGTGTGGGAGCTAGGAGAGAAAAGGTTTTGTGAGCCCAGAAAAAATAATAAAATGTTTAAATCCTTAATTGTTTTTCTTGAAGGTTTATCCAAAATCGAGCTCTCCTTAAGCCTGTGAGTTTGCAGAGCATTGTCAATAAATTAGATCATGCACACAAGGCAAGGATTTCAAGCCAAAAAGCTCTAGCCCTGAGTCGCTTAACAGCAACATTCCCCCGAAAAAATTACTCGAGATGAAACATGAGATACGTATTAATTATCAATGGTCTAATAGAAAATTTAATGAAGACAAGTATCTTCTTGCACTTTATCCACGATAACGATGATAGTACGTCAGCGAGGCGCATACCTTAGAACGTGGCAGTGAATGTCAAGTCTGAAGCCATTACAGCAATTCACCACAATAATGGCCAGCCAATGCATGGGCTCGTAGCACTTAATCAAAGTAATGACATCCATCCACAATTATTTATGTTATGGTAACAAAGAGCTGCCAAATGCAAAACAAATGACACGAGGATTTGCAAGTGAATTTCTTCCCGTAAATTCTCCTTAGGTTATGCTTTAGGGTCCTCAGGATGGAAGTCTGTGTATTTCCAGAGTGATATCAAAACAGTGGGGTTGTTGTGCCACATTTTATTGCCTATAAGCAATGAACCCAACACTATCACCAAAATGAGGTCTTCAGCCAACACAACTATATCAATATCATTTGAGCTGGCCTTGATTTACACCCAAGAGTTGTCCTCAGAATTTTACAGGAGGAAAAATATTATATGGGAGACAACCTTCGCTTACATCTGCCTATCAAGGAAAACAAAGACCCAGTTGTATTAACACTTAAACATGCATTTAACTTAAAGTATATGAGCAGTCGCCACTTACCTCAATGGGCTTTGGATTACAGCCATTATAATTACCACCGTGATTCTCTATTAAGAGCACTACGGCTCTTTCAGGGGCATTTATGTGGGTGTTTGTATAAAAACACTGTCAAAAACTAAAGAACACCAGTAAATATAAAATGGCAATGTTCAGGTTCAAATGTAATGAACTAATTTATTTTTTTTAACACTACATCCAACTGTTTTTCACCACGCACAGATGTCACTGGAACAACTTGAATACGAAAAAAATTGCCTAAGAACAATAAACTACACAGACCAGCTAATATTGATTGCTTTAAAAATGCCCCCTGTTAAACTAAATAATAGCCAAATCTCACTGCAGTAAATGTGCCTTTATATCATTAAATACTAATTTAACAGAAATGTGACTGCATAGTGAAAAACATGAAAATGTTGGAACTGAAAGATTGCCTTTTTTTTCCTCTGCATTATACAAGTCTCCAAATTAACACCCAAAAGAAGAAAACAATAATTTCATATTAGCTGGCTACTTAGTCACATAAGCCAAAGCTGGGACTAAGCTAAACTCTAATACACACTTTCCAAAGTGACCTGTGTGTCTCCGAGAGGGGAGGCTGGAGGATGCCCCTCACCACAGGCTCTGTCCGCCCTCGATGACCAGATTGTGGCCTGTCATGTAATCAGAGGCTTCAGAGGCGAGGTAGACGATGGCAGCCTGCAGGTCGGTGGTCTGAGCCAGCCTCCCGGCGGGAATGTCGCCCATCCAGCGCTGCACCAGCGGCCGCAGCTCCTTGGAGCGGATGAGTGGAGTGTCCACGATGCCCCTGCAAGAAGGACACACACCAAGAGTTTAGAAAGAAGAAAAGGCAGCACTTATAGGTATTCGAGATGTCAATTCAGAAGGCAAAACCGTGGAAAGTCATGATGCTGAAAGTCATGATGCAAACTTTCCTATCGTTGCCTTTCCCTGCTGATTGGCAGCTTAAAGGTTTCCTTTAAAGTAAGTGCACAGGTACTATCTGCTTAGCTAATAGCAGAAGGTCCTTACTTTAAGGTCACCAGTTTAATTTTTTTTTCTAGAAAACAAGCATGGCATTGGAACGGAAAGCATCTTGAGTCGGGTCTGTCACGGCTCTTGGGAACTGTCGTCCCTCTACCAATTTCTCTTCTCATCTCATCACTCCGCAGCATAATGTCACACAGCGTTTGTGTACAGCCCAGAAACTGAAAACAGACCAACTTCTCATATGTCAAAAAATGAGGGAAACAAAAGCCAGCACCCTTCCGGGCACCAGACCCTCTCCACACAAAGAAGGAGAGGCAGGGATAAGCACAACACAACCAGTGCGATTCCCCCTTAAACCAACACCCCAACAAATCACACTGATTTACCTGTTTTGCCTGTTTTACATCAATGAGTGACTCCACCACATATTAAAACTCTGCTAAGTTCTTTTTTGTTCAGGTGCCCTAAAAATGAGTGATGCTGCAGGAAGCACAATGCAGGGCAAACATTTGGCTGGCTTTTCTGACTTTAACTGCGACTGATTTGTCATACTCCTCCTTAACAACATATTTGTATTTTGCGAAATGTATAATTTTTTCAGCCCCTGAACAAATATATTTACATAACTGTGTCTAACGAGAAATTACATTTAACTTCTCAGAAATGACAATAACTAAAACCTGAACTGCCAATTCCACTTCATTAGTGTGGTAGAAATGCATTCCAAATGTTAATAAAAATTCCAACATGCTGATAAATTAGCGCTTCTAAGGAGCATGTGACACCTTGGTTAACATATTCAACCTCAATTATATTTCTCTTCAGCACCCTGTTATCTGGAACCTTTGCTGGCAATCAGAGGTGCTGTTTTTCAGCGGCCAATTTTCTAGATAATGTAGCTTATCAACACTGTGGGTAAACTTGCCAATGAAATCAGGCTGCACTGAACCACACACACGCTAATTGCATCTCTTTTTTATGCATATTTACAGACTGTCACTTCAAAGAAATCAGTGGCCCATTGAGGCAGCCAGTTAGCTGGAAGAATTGCCTCTTGCAAATGAAAATTAGCAAACAAGCTAGTGATAAATATGAAATGAACAAAGTATAAAAATACTCGTTTTGTTCTGAAACTTCATTGGCATCCCAATTTAGACTTCCAAGGAAATAATTTTTTGAGTCAGACTGGATTCTGGGTATGAGATCTACCTTTTGTTTTAAATGAAGGCTGAAATCTTCTATTTACTCTGTTACGAAGTGGAACTAATTCAGATTTTCCCCCAAACATTTCTGTTTGCACTAATCAGGCAGGATTTAAATATCAGCTTCATTTTTTTTTGTAATTGTCAATAAAGAGCAGAACAGTTCAGAAACAGTGAGCAATGCAGCTTGTTTAAGTTCTGGCAACGTAACAAAACCAAGCACATTCCAGTATAGAACTGCGGACTTATTTCCTTCAAGCACAGCCTCCTGCTCTCCCTCCTTGCTTTTCCAAACTCCTCGAGAACTGGTTTTCTTCAGAGAGAAACGTGCTTTGAGCAGCAGACATGAAATATATTGGACTCCTTTTCCATACGTGCCTCTCACTGTGCTTGCAAAACCATCCCCATCATCATCGTTCTGGCTTTAGAGTATCAGAGACCAGAATAAGATCCATATGATTTTGTGGGGGTTTTTTTCCATTTACAGATATATTTTAACCCCAAGGGAATGTAGATTAGGGAGTAAGACACACAGTCCTCCAGCACAACAGATTTTGCTGAAAAGAGGACATTTTTCAATCTGTTCAGAAAAATGATCTTTGATCTGATCGCTGCAGCCTGTGAATTGCTGCATTGTGGCTGTCGCTGGACCTTTCTTTATGTTCACTTCAAGAAGCAAAAATTTAGATGTGTAACCAAACTTCATTACAAATTTTTATTATAGAAATGAGAAAAAAATATAGCGCAAAACTTAAAAGTTGCAAACACACATACTGATGGCACTATAAATATTAGGCATGTCATTGATACTACACATCTTCTGGGAAAGCTTTGGTGCCAAGTTGGGCAATTTAATGTTGTCGAACCCTTTTAGGCAGATTTTAGTTGGCTTCTAACCAGTTCCAGCAAAGACAACTGCCAATGCATTAATTCCCTACCTCATCTCGTATGCAGTGCTGAGCCTATCAGTACTTTCTGTTGCACGTCAATGTAATATCAAACTGCTGGTTCCTTAACATTAGATATGAGCATCAATATTTCATTATTGATACACAGGACAATTTGAGACATTAGGAAAAAAAAAAGACCGCCAAAAAAAAAAAACAATTGCCTAAAACATTTCCACTTCGAGAGACACATTAGGAAAAATATCACTTACCAGATACTTAACTGGAATTGTTACGTGCACTCAATCCCCAAATGAGAGCAAAAAAAGATTCCATCTGTGTGTAACTTGATTTCTTTCAGATGAGTTATTAATTTGAATGAGTTAAGTACACTCCACTTAATCAGGAAGTGTTTAATCACAAGATCCACTTAATTGGGACATCTCCCAAGGAATTAAGATTTAAGTCCAAAGATACTTACCAGCAACGACTGCTGCTTAATGGGGATAGTAATGCTGCTTAATTGGGATGCCTTCAGGTGATGCTGGGGTGCTCCTTCTCCTGCCAGCTCTGCCTCTCTGTCCCCCCGATGGTGTGTACCCAAAACCTGCGGTGATCCTGCCCTACCTGCTCTCTGACTGCTCGTACCCACCACGCTACAAGCCTGCTACAGCACCACGCAGCTGTCTTCATGCTGCCCCAGAGGAGCAGGGCAGGACACAGGGCACACAAACCCTCTTTGTCCATGGCACCTCCAACCCAAATCCCTGCAGCCCATCAGTGGGAAACATGGCTCATCCCTCAGGTCTGCTGAGTTTCACTGGGTCTCCAACAAGCTGGCCTGGCTGCAAGTTGACCTCAAGATCAACTTCCAGCTGCCCATCTGGAAGGTCATCACATTATGGCATTTTATGTCTTGCAAATCAAGAAAGAAGCAGCAATTACCCACAAAAAATAGACACTGATTCAGTGTAATGGCTGAAAAATGAAGTGTTCCAATGCTGCACGTGCCAAAAACCAGAAACCCTCCAAAGTCCCCTCCTCCATCACACTCAACACACTTCACATGTGCTGGGAGACTAAAACACGTGGGGGCAGATGACCAACAGCCACCAGTCAGTGCTCTGTAAAGGTCCCTATTCACAGCCATGTTCCCTCTGCAGCCTGACCCTCACACCCCTTCCAGAAAGACTCCAGCACCTTATTAATTTTGTTGGCATCAGCTGTTTAACAGGTTACAGGCGATGCCACTGGATGGGCAGAAGGAATGAACACAGTTTCCACGATAGCAACAGGATAAGTCAGCCAAAACATCCAGGGAGTCTCAGCCACCTTCTCCCCAGGCTTGCTTGGCTGGCAAGAGAAGCCTAAATCTTCAGTTTTATAAATGCAATAAATCATCCTAAGAACTCTGCCATAACATTTTATGCATTGCTAACTTTTATGCATTGCTCTGCATAAGTTTTATGCACTCATTAAGAAATTAAGTTGATAAAAAGTGACCAGATAGGAAGAGGGGGAAAAGGTCAGAAGGTTTGCATGGTGAAATAATGTCTAAGGCCAGGCTGGAGTATTTGGACCTTCAAACAGAGACACGCTCAGAGTGCCTTGAAGCATTAATGCAACCGTGAGTGGGAGGGACAAAGTACTTAAGGACACAGATATTCTACTTGTCCAGAGATGATCTTGGGGTACTATCACGCCCTATATCTACATCTGTGCTCTTCAAACTCCTCAAAATCCTCTCCCATTATAAGATGACTATGTGCTAGGTTGGGTATCCATGTTCAGCAAGACTTGTGCTTTGGAAGATGTTTCAACTAGAATAGCATTGACACGTGCTGTTGTACTGTGGCTCCTGCCCAGAGTTGGGTACTCAGATCAAGTAGGTTGAAGATGTCCCTGTGCCTTGGTGAGTCACGTTAAGAGACAATGACACTGGTAGGGTCCACAGTTCTGGGAATGGGTCCAAATCTGCACTGAAATGCAGTTTCACATCTCACATGGGCAGAAAGGTAAACATGAGTAGTTATTCACTCTGAAGTATATGTGGCTCTTGCTTATGGCAATGAGGTATCTGAGTTCTGTGAACCACTACAGGTTCCTTCCTCTGAACGCTGCTCAGAGCTCCCCGGGACAGCCCCGTCATGAAGGGCTCAGCCAGAGCTTTGAATTACCAGGAGGAAAACTGTCCAGCTCTGGGGTGGATCAATCCAGGTTCCCAGCTGCGTTAGGGGAAACTGTTCTGTCCAGAACAGGGGACCTCAGAGTCAGCAAAACATTTGTCCTCTGTGTGCCCTTCCTGGCTATTCCTCCACAAAGAAACATCCCTTCCTGGAGTAGGATTTTGAGCTCAGATCTAGAGTTTAAGACAGGTAGGGATGATCAATATGCAACCCTGTTTTGGCTTGAAAAGTAGAAACATGACTATTTTTCCTCCGTGCTCTCACAACTGCCTCCAGAGACATAACTTTTTCAAGTATGACTGTATGCTCCCAAATTGTACAAAATAAGGCATTTTGATATTCCGTGTCTATATTTTTAATTTATGTAAGCCCCCTCAAAATGGGTAATTCCTCCTCTAAGAGCCTTCTCATCTGTAATTGCTGTGAATGTGTCTCTACTATCCCACTTCTGTTGGTACAGATTACCTGTGTGTTTTCAGACACAATTTCTGCCAGGTCCTGCTGAGCTTCCCTAATCCCTTCATCTCCCCCGGCTCCCGAAAGCCGGTGTAAATTCACTAGCACTAGTTGTGGGAACACTATAACAGTGCTGCTAGGACTGGTATGGGGAAAATCCCATTAGGAAGTAAGATGCTGTTGAAAGAATCTGTGGATCACATGGAGTGATGGCTGGAGTCACTGGTATAATTAGTAATAAATAATCATAAGGAAGACAGCTAGCACAAGCTAGGGGAGAGCAGACCGGCAGTAAAAACAGAGGCACTTGCCACTGAGCTCTGTGCTTTTATTTTTTTTTTACTCCACTTTGTGGATTAAAATATGTAATTTGTTTTCCCTAATTTGATGTACATTATTATCTTCATTATTACAATTTAACTCCTGGGTTAAAATCCTGCCCTTCCTACTTACTCTGATTGACTTCAATGGTCTACGGAATTTGACCGCTTCCAATTAACGCTACCCACTTGGGTTTCTGCTCAGCACTATCATGCACTGTTAATTGTTTAATAAAATGACTGGGTTGGGTATGTGTGTGAGAAACAGAAAGACACAAGGTATGTCTAGTAAGAAAACTTTCCTTTGTGAATAAATACCATAAAACACAGAGTTTGAAGTCTCTAAAAATAAGGAAAGTTTAATTTGTAATAAACATATACATATATACAAAACTACACCTGGCCTCCTGTGACTGTCAGAGTTGAACAGTAGCTCAATTACAGCAATATAATGTAGCTTTTAAAGCACCTATATATTTGCCTCAAGTGAAAAGGGGAAAGAAGTATTGTCTATTAAGTGTCAAAAACCTTTTCTTTAACCACAGAAGGCTTGGACAGACTAAGGAAATATTTCATCTAGAAGAGAAATGCTAAAAACTACCCTTCACATTATTGGAAAACCTATTATCAAATGCTAAAACCTCTCCTTAAATCCCTGAGTATACACAGCAACAGAGCAGGCTTGGCTCTAAGTATTTAAACCTTTGTTAAGGAAAAGACAACATAAAAAGGGATGCAATCCACCTGCTAATTAGAAACTTTATTTGCTGAGATAGTGTTCATATGAGCTTTGTGGAACATTTCATTCCCTTTGTAGTTCCAGAATGAGGCTGTGTTTTACTTACGGGGAAATGCAGTTGACTTTTACTCCTCTGTCAACCCACTCGGTTCCCAACGTCTGTGTTAATTTTACGACCCCGGCTTTGGAGACGTTGTACGCCAACTGCTTCTGCGGGTGCGGGACTGCGAGGGGTTCAGAAAGAGAAAATTATTTATTCTTCCCAAATTAAGACAGCTCAGGCGTTACACAGACAATTCCCTGCATTGAGATGAACTATTTGACATTCTTCCCCGATGGTAGGTAGGGAAGAGCAAGAATTCAGCCACTCACAACGCAAAACTCTAACTATGTATTTTGCCATCTAAAATTTGTGCCTCAGCAGCTGGACTACTGAAAAACAAAATGGCAAAAATAGAAATAAAGAAAGAAATATAAAAGGCCCCATTTTTGGGCAAAGCCAAACCCAATGTATTAAACATAGATATGCAATACTTGGCTGCTCCCAAGAAAGATCAATAATCATACACATTCATATATTACACACATATATATGTTTATATACTTGTGCACTGTAATATTAATATAGCATCATATAATGATAATACATTATATGATTAATACTATATGTTCTGTCTGTTATAATATATAAATATTATTTATTATTTATATATAGTACATTATGTGGTATGATATAATGTAATGCAACATATTAAATTGTTTGATATGACATTATATGATATAATACGATATAAGTGCATAATAGATTTTATATAACATATTATATATAGCCTCTTGGAACAAATTATTCTCCCTAATTTTTAAATTATCCATAGTCTGAAGCAAATACATCACATTATCTAACTGGTGTTTGTGTGGATGTGATCACAGGTGCATCCCAAAAATTCAGAACACCCACCACTTTCAAAATCTGAAGCTTTTGAAAATGTTTCAGAGGTGTCACATGTCAGTCAGAGACAGAAAATGATCGGCTTGCTAATTACAATGTTCAAGGTTGCTAGTGCTGTGTGCTTGCTGGCTCTGCCCCTCACCAGCTCCGTGAAAGCTACTTAAGGATAAATCCCCAGTGGGTGTAAAGTGCTTTAAACCCATGGGAGTCAAAACCAAGTCAGCCCAGCTGTTGGGATTTACACTCACAAAGTGTCTCTCCTTGGAGTTTTTTGGCTGCCATTAGGACTTCATTAAACAAATCCAGTGCAAAGCACAAATCCATAATTAGCTCCATATCAGTGCTAAGTGTCACTGAGTTGCTGACTCTCACGGAGGGAGAGTGGGGAAAATCAGGGCTAAAAATCAGTAGTCACAAAGACAGGCAATTCCAGCCTGTGGGGTTGGATAACACTGAAGCCTGGAAGAAAGGTAATCACTGGGATTGTGTAAGGTTCTTCAGGCAAACCCCAGCTCACAGCATAAAAGCACACAAACAGCACTGGTAGATGGCATTAAATTGGTCTTAATAAATTAAGTTGATGCATCAGCTCTAGATCACTCCCACCTATGGCATCCCAACACACCCACTACTGCTTTTATTGACTAAAACTATTGGGTTTGCATATGTCAGTGTAAAGGGTGGAAAGAAGATGATAACTGAGTTATGTGAATTCTGAAAGAGCATAAAGCTCTGCTGCAAATTACTGAGCATGTGAACAAGGGCCTTTGCCTTGAACACAGATGTTTGTGAATAGATTTAAAGCACACGTGATGGGAGCAATAATTAGTATTTCATTTTTTCTGCATGTGCTGAAGGTTTGCTCAGAATTCAGAGGCCTTTTCCTTGCTACAAAGAGCATTACACACCATGGCCCTCCTCTGCCAGCATTTATTCTGTGTTCCTTTTTTGTTCAATATGAAATACTTTGCATTTTGACCAGCAGAACTGCTTTGCCCTCTGTGTGTGCCTGTTGCCCCCCGACACAGCACGATGTGGGGGCTCTCAAAAAGATGTGGAATGTGATTTCTTGATTAATTGCCATGCTCCAGCTCCAAGTTACATACAACTTCGGTAGTTAGCCTTGTAACCTCCCAAAAGCAGTTCTTTGCTGTACTTTCCAAACATGTCTCTCTGTGATAAATCATTTGGTGTTTGCTAAGAGGATGGGAGTTCTGGCACCAGCTCTGCATGTGGGTGAGAACAAGTTGCTGCAAGCTATGAGAACCAGCTTCTGATATGGGGTGAGTGCCGACACAGGATTTTCAAGAGTCCTTCCTTGTAAAGGCTTTTGTCTTTGTAAGAATATCTAAGCAAGGTAACTCCCCCTTCTGAGACACTTGGCCCCTCTCTATTAGAAAAGCTGAAGAAGAAGCCAACAGGTGCTGCAAGGCTCTGGCACTGGATGGGCTTTCTGCAGCTCAGCGCCCTGCACCACCTCCTCTCCCCTTACCTACAGGTCTCTTACAGACAGAAGAGCAAATCTGGAACCCTTCAAACTCATACAAAACAGGGCTAGAGCCTGTGAATGAAGCTATGCCTCCAGCAGCATCACCAAAAAAAATCTGAATTATTAAGGCTTCTGGGAAGTGAGGACACTCACTCCTGTTCAAGACAGATGATAGGAGGACCCAGGTATAATTCTGCCAACATCAGCGGCATTATGTTTTAAACACCTGTGTCCTGGTTTGGGCTGGAATAGAGTTAATCTTCTTCCCAGTGGCTGCTACAGATTTTGGGGTTTAGAGTGGGAATGATGTTGATAATACACTGATGGTTTAGTTGTTGCTCTAAATCAAGGCCTTTTCAGTTCTTGTGCTGCCCTGCCAGCGAGGAGGTTGGGGGCTGGTACAAGAAGCTAGGAGGGGACACAGCCGGGATGACTGACTCCAGCTGGCCAGAGGGATATTCCAGATCATATGGCATCATGCTGAACAATAAAATTAAGGGGAGTTGGCTGGGGAGACTGACTGGGCATTGGTCAGTGGCTAGTGAGAAACTGCATTGTGCATCACCTGTTTTGTGTATTCTTTTATCCTTATTATTATTTTCCTTTCTTTTTCTGTCCTAATAGACCATCTTTATCTCAACCCCCAGGTTTTAACACTTTTTCCAGATTATCTCCCCCATCCCAGGGGGAGCAAGCAAATGGCTGTGGGGTGTAAGCCACAACAACCTGATGCTCTGGTTTTACAACCTTGTTCAGTGCCTCAGGCTTCCAGGCTGACCTTGAAGCAGCCACATAATGCTAATGAGAGGTGCACACAGACAGAGCAGAGCAGACCACTTACCACCAAAGATATTCACTGTAAAAATCACAGCTCTGAGTTACACCTGCGTGAACCGCCGAGCCGCAGCAGCCTCGCTGCCACTGCTGGAGCTTATGCCTGGAATAATTCCAGTGAAATACCAGAATCAAAATGCACATATGCAAAATGTATGCGGCTTATCTTCAATTAATTAAAACTGATTCTGAGCAGTGAATCTGGAAAAATCACAAACAAAAACCTCCCTATCCTGCTAAGCGTCTCCTCATTTTCCTGTATCTCTGAGGAAGGACTCAACCTACAACAACAACAAAAAAAATATCCCCTAACTATTTCTAGAAACATTTCATACTATGCCAGTTGGCCAACATACTTAAATAACCAACCAACCAACATATTTATTTAACATTCAGCAGATGGACATGATATGAACATCGTGGTTTTCAGTTGTAGTTTCATAACTACTAGATTTTTTCAATGCCAAGATTCAAACAGGTTCAGAAGGTAAACACATCTCTTCATCTCTTAACTTTTGGCCTAGCACACATTGACTTTTACTGACATTTAAATGCATCTTGGGATGACCCTTCCAGGCTGCTCTCAGGGCTGCTTTCCAACATTCATTCCTGTTCCAGACCAGTACTCCCTCAAATGTGATCTCCAGGTGAATCTCTGGGCTTGACTCACCAGCCAAGGAGGTGCAGCCCCGAAGTGGGGCTGGGATGGATGCAGTGGTGGAATGGCATCACCTCCCAGCTCAGCAGAGCTGTGCCAAGGCCCGACAGAAAAGTTGGAAAAAGCCTCTCCTTAAGCAGTGCAGACCATTGCTGGGCTGCAGTGAGACTGGGAGCAGTGTGCCAAACCAACAGATCCTCAGTTTTTGCCAATTCCCAAAGCTGCCTAACTTTCTCCAGAGTGGAATACCTCCCAGGAAATTTTGCTTGGTGATAGTGATGTGGATGGTGACAGCCAAGCACAGACCAGAGCCTGACTGCAGAGTGCAGAGCAGGAAGGCCTGGTGTATTTGAAATTTAAAGCCCTACATTCTTTTCAAAACTACCTTTCTTTGTGAGATTTTGTAACTTTACAAAGCTGGGGCAGAGGGATGGTGCCTGTGTTTAAGCAAAAGTAAAACAGCTGGTAAAGACACTTGAAAAAATATTAACAACAACATTGTAAATGGATTTTTGAAGAAACATTTAAAGTTACTGTGCAATAAACTGAGCAGAATGTCATAGAATGTCAAACTGGGCACAGTAAAAATAAACGTTATTCCAAAGGAAAATATAAAGACTGCATACTTATGTAACATTCAGCAGATGGACATGATATTAATACAGGGGTTTTCAGTTGTAGTTTTATAGCTACTAGATTTTCTTGCCTAACTTGGCAACCCAAGGCACCATTTGATTTTTGGATTTGGACAATACTGCAACAGATGTCCAGACCAATAAAATAAATTCCTAAAGGGCTATGCTTAATTCGTGTAATTGATCAATTTTTGTTACATGGGCTTCAGCTCACCAGCATGTAACTGCCTTCCAGATTAGCTCAGCAGTAGGGATTTCATTCCATATGTTACAATGGTTTATTGGCGCTTTTGATGACACTGCTGATTCAGCAGCGCTGGTGCAGGCACCTGTTGGTAAGAGCAAGTTATAAAACTCGTGGGTACTGGGGTAAAAACTGACACTAAATCTTTTGGGTGGCTTTTAAACACCTCGGGGGCTCAGTTTCCCACACGCCAAGGAGTTTGCCTGGAACAATGGGGAGGATTACCAGCACCTTTCCCATGCCATCCATGCAGTGCAGTCACAGAAGGTGACTCCACCTCTTCTATAAAAAGTAATAAGTGCTCTAAAACATTGAGGACAGATAAATGTTGAAAAATGATATCAATAAAAATTTTGTAGTACATTTCCTCTAATACGAAATGTCAGTGATTTACTCCTTCCCAATACAGGTTTAATTGATTCAAATAGCATCGGTAGTAATTAAAATATGGATTCTGAAGCACAACTGTTAGCTCTCATCACTCACCTATTAAACTTGCCATAGATGCTGTGTTAATTATCTTCCCATATCCTTGATTCAGCATAATGCGGCCTGCAGCCTGTGACAGAAATTAAAGGAAAGACCAGTGACCCTTTCTGTGATTGTGCTAATAATGACATGATAATAAATTAGTCTTCACTTTTCAGAAGAGTTGATGTGCTAACACATTTTTTTTAAGCACTTGATCTAAAAACTTAGTATAAAAATGGCTGATACAGGAAAAAATGCCTTTGCCATTTCACACCTCTTCACTCTTGGCAATATTTTTTCAAAATAATCACTAATTTCGGGACTGCCCCCACAAAGCTTTTTGGTTTTCAGGATGTGTCAAATAATGACTCTTCAAAAAATTTTGGCCATTTGCCTGGGTTTGGGGCAGCCAGTAAGTACCAGCTGCTTTTGGAAATATTGACCAAAATCTGTAATTGAAATCTGCAAGTCTTTCCTTAACTCCAGCCAAACTGGGACCAATTTTATTAGGATAATTAGTAATAAAGTGTTATTAAGTCTTGATCAAGTAAGCACTTAAAAAATTATTACCCATTTGCAAAACCAAACAGCGCAGCATTTCACACTTACTTGACAGCACAAAAATAATCCTCGCAAATTAACATTAAAGGTTTTGTCCCACTCCTCTAGGGAAGTCTCTTCACTTGCAGAGTTCAGATTGATTCCCGCGTTGTTGCACGCGATGTGAACCGTGCCCCAGCGAGCCACGATTGCATCCACCATCCTTTGCACATCCTCAGGCTTGCTTACATCCACTGCCAGGGCAAGGCTTTTAATCCCTGTGTTAACATCAGAGCAATGGAGTCAGTACAGGAATTCTCAGGGTAAGAAAAAAAAAATCTATTTTGTGACTATTTATCAATGCATATAGAGAGATATTTTATAGAGAGATGTATTTTTTATATACAAACGTATTGCATACATATTCCACCTTCATTCACTGCTACACGAATTGTAGCAAAGCGTGAGTTTGTTACTGCAATACTGTTATTATAAAGTTGCTGACTGGTGCGAGGTTTGCCTGTTGGAGACCAACCTAAAGCCCAGGTGTGGGAGCGAAGTCTGCCACTCCAGCAGGACGAAGCTTGGAACACTGCACCATCTTCTGTCCAAACCCTCAACTGCAGCTTTCCCATCCATCAGCAGCTCTACAGATGCTTTTTTTATGCCATATCCCCCTGAGATGCTCCAGAAATCAAATTAATTTGTCCCAAAAGTGCTCTCTGGATGAACTACAGTATCCAGACAGCTGGAAGCCTCAGACAAAACCAAACCAGTTTTAGGTGGGAGAGTTAACTGGGAATACCTTCAGGTGCATAGGTATGGTAGTCACATTTCCTGGCCTTATTTATTGCAAATCACACTGCCAGAATAGTGCAAACAGTCAGAAGTTAAGAGATTTACCAGATTTTAAACATGCCATAGTGATTTTTTCCTCGAAAAATCCAGCTGTTGACTTTTGCACCAGTGCTGATCCATAAATAACTTCATTTAATTTATTATAAAAATCAGCTTTATATACCCTTGTTGTTAAACAACATAAGCAGCCTGCTGAGGCACCTGATGTGAATGGGATTATACCCATCCAGAAAGCCAAACAAGGCTACACCAGTAAGGGCTGTGGTGAAATGGGTCTTAACTCAGGAGGAGGGAGGCGGTCACTGGGGTTGGACCGTGGATCAGCAACCTGCAAGCAAAGAGTGTACAGATAAGAAGTTACAGCTGTTAAAGTAAGATTTTTTATTTCTATATAAATGGAAAAATTGTTCCCCATTCGTTCCTCTTACAGATCATTCTGATAAAGCATTTAAAAGAAGGCTTAAGCCTATTCTAGGAGAAGAGAAAACTCTCCCAAAATGAAGCTTGAGACGGAGGGTTCCACGAAAGCAAGGCAAAGCAGTAATTGCCCAGTGGTGTTTGAAGAAAATGTCAGGAAAGGGACCTTTGGATGGAAAAGCTCCTCCTCACCTCCAATGCCTTCAGGAGCCTGCCAGAGTGCAGTTCCTGAGGTGATGCTGCTCTGGGGTGCTCCCCACACCAGGCCATGGGAGCTCCTGTCCCCTTCAGTGATGACACAGCCCTCTTGATTTCCATGGCAGAGAAATAATACAGCCAACTAAAAAATGAATGCATGTTCTGCCACAAAACAAGACCTCTTATTTTATCGCAGGTTTTATGCTAAATACTCTGAAAGAATAAGAACAGCCAGACAGCCCCCGTTGCTCCTCCTAATTGTTATCTAGACGTGTAACGCACAGGGAGTTGCTGCAATCTTTCTTTCTCAATTTACAGACAAAACGGGTGCAAGCGTGTTACTAATGGTAACAGAGAGACTCTTCACCTGCCCTCCAACTCTCACCCCATTTATGGCTTCATCTTATAAGATAGTTCATAAAAACAAGACAAAAGGTGCCACGCGTGAGTGTCTGGCGAAGAAGCAGTGAAGACACACTCACTTCAAACCCGAGTCCCACATTTGACCTTAATCAATTCAGCTGATGTCCCTGCACTCAGAGAGAGAGGGGAAAAAACCCACTTTCTGTCTCTCCACTGTCTTCCCAAACAACCTATTAAAAATAATAAATAAACTGTGGAAAAATAGCTTCAACTCTATAGACACAGCCAGAGGTAAGAAACAGAACATACGACTGTGTTGCTGTATGCATGACAGAGCCAGTGCCTCTCCACAGCCCTCAGTCTAGTTTTGTGATGCTTGTGGAGGCAGTTTTGTGATGAGAGGGGCAGGAGTGGAGCGCAGTTGCTCTGTGGTGGAGAGACACCAATATGCCAAATCCACCAAGGTGCCCTTCTGCAGGGGACACGTACACGTCCCCCTGCCACAGGACTCATCTCTGGTCTCTCGGTGTAAATGGAAGCAACACGTTGCATATAGACAGGAAGATCAGGAGTGACATTGCACAAGGCATTTGCATAGTTTACAGTGAAAATGCACATTTTAAAAATCCCATCAGACTAATTCTTCCCTTAGGGTAGAGGCAGCGATTCCCCCTGAAGACAGAGGTGTGTGTTGTGGAAGGTAACCCTTAGGATTTTCTGGTTATGTTTCATCATTTTTGGTTCTTCTGTCAGATTCCATTAGCAACTGTTGAAAAAGTTATTCACACAGGATCTCTAAACAAAGACCCCTGTAGCCAAGGGACATACACCCGAGCTGTCTAACAAAGCTAAAACTGAGATCACAGAGATTCTGAAGTTTAAAACTCATCATGAAATGATGGCACCATCCCAAAAGGCAGTAAAGGACTCCTTGGTATAAGAAGCAGAACAGCTCTAAGCAATTTAAGCAAAATGTTTTGAAAAAGTATCAGTATGGGAATGACTTGGGGCACTACATTTCCAACTTTGATTTAGAGATTTCTACAACCCTAGAAGGGAAAAAAAAAAAAAGTCACAGCTCCTTTGTCCTTATTATAGCGGGGAAAATATGTATTAATATTATGATTTCTTCAATTTACTCATGTGAATATTTTCAGAGTAAAGCTAGCTGAACCTTTTTGTCAAAATTTATTTCCAACAGAGCATGTTACTTCTTTGAAGTCAAAATGTTTCATGGAAATATATCGATTTCAACAAAAGTTTTAAAGGGAAAGCTTCTGAGGTCCAGGCTAGACTCTCTAGTTACCTCTGGAGAGAAAGAGATTGAAAACCTGACCTTTTCAGATCCTTTCCAAAAACGGGCATTTGGTTATAATTCCCTTTCACAAAAGCATTACAAAGTTTGGGTTTTGTTCCAACAGGGAACGACAATAAATTTGAAACCTCAAAAACCGTCATGAGATGGAATAGATGTGCCCTGACCAGCTGCACTGGTCAAGTTGATAGATAGTATTTGACCTCAAAGGATAAAGATGTGTAAAGAGTGAGAAGCGAGATTTTCTTTACTTTAGACTGCAATAATATTTGCTATGCCTCATGACCTCTCCGACTGCATTTTGGAACACCCCCCCACCTCCTCCGGGCTTGCAACCCACTGCTGAAGGAGCAGAGATGTAGGGCAGCCATTGAAGGATGGATGATCAAACTCCTACTGAAAAATGCCCTGGAGATAAGTTAAGTTAGTTTTCCAATAGGCTGTTGGCATCCAAAGTCTCATGGCTCTGTCAAGTAGCCCATTTCTATCTGAATAGCTCTGCTTGATATGCAGGATCTCACGGGGAAAAAACGTCCAAAAGGCAAGTTAACGTGTAGGGCAAAGCTACTTTGTGCCAAGGCCATATGGCTTTGGTGCATAAGGGAATGACAAGCTTCAGGAGGGGAGGGACTGGATGACTCAAGAATTTGTAATAGGAACTGAACACTTTCTATTCTAGCTCGTTATTTGAGATCAGAGCTTTAACCATTGCACTGATGCTCAGCGTAAAGTGTCTCCTGCTTACCAGAGCTGGGATCGTGCAGACAGGGACATTTTGTTTTAGAAGTTCTCTGGGGAGGCTCAGGACGGTATCAAAACCAGAAATGTACCATTCCTCGCCCTTCCTCAGACTGGGTGATACAAATACTTCTGCAGGGGCTGGTTTTGCTGGAGAATATGGTTTCTAATGGCCCAATCCTTTTGGAAGTCAGAATGGAAACGAATACTACTGACTTTATCCAAAATGGGAATATGAAAATTTCCTGGGTAAAGCTCTACATTTAGAGACAATGAAGAACTTTGAAGAAGGCTCAGGTATAACCTCACAAAAGAAATTATAAAATGAGTAATACTTCCTTTCTTTTATCATTAAAATTATATTTCCAGTTTTCTTTTTCCCCTTTATAATTGCAGTTTATCACAATTATAGGGGGAAATTCAATTTTATGTTACATTTTCTGTTTTTACAACAGAAGTGGCTTGTAGAGGATGCTACCTCTTCTTGGGGATTTTTGTTATTACATCTATTAATATTTTGTTCCTATATCTGACCTTGCAAGCATGTTTGAAAGAGGGTTTCAAAAATTACTTTGCTTGAATTTGAGGATGCAATGAGAGATTCAGACTGACAACACATCTACCTTGTTTTGGTGTTTTGGCTCATGGTCCAGACATTAGGTATGGAAGAGGTGCCAGGGAAGGGGGATGTGTTTGTAGCCCATGTCTGTCATTCGTCCTTAGTGAAGCCTGAGGTGCTGCATGATTTACTCTGAGAAACACCATCTCTATTTGTTCAATGCTGGTTATACAGATCTCACCCGCAAGGGGTGACCCTTCTCTGTCCCTGTCAGTCATGGCTCACTGCTGTGTTTCCTTTGGGCACCCTTGGCAAGGAATTTTATTTGGGTCACTTTGCCTCTAGTTAAGTTTATATTAATAAATAACTCTTGCAGACAGTGTCATACTGATGACTGCTGAGACAACACCGCCAGGGCAGGAGAAGCTTCATGACCATGGCATGAACATTTTCTGCTCTAACCTATTCCCCATCAGAGCTGGATGGAAGGTAATTCCACTGCAGAGAACAGGTCAGGTTTGAGGAAGGAAAGCTGCTCATTACAGTGCTCACAACAGGTCAGTCCCACACTTACCTTTGAGGCTGAGCTCACACACCACCGCCTCTGCCTTGGCAAGGACCAGATCCACAACGGCCACTTTGGCACCAGCTTCCCCCAGGGCATGAGCAAAGGCTCTGCCAATGCCCTGCCCCCCGCCGGTGACATAGGCCACCTTGCCATCCAAACGCAGCCGGTCCAGGATGTTCCGCCTGTTATGGCCCCAGAAGACGTCATCCCTCACCACTTCTTTCTGAAACAAAGCATAGACACATTGCACAACAAGGGGCAGAGCTCACTATGTGAGAGCTGTGAAGGACTTCACCTGTGAGAACAAGGCAGGAGCGTGAACAGGGATCCGTGTCTTCTTGCCCATTAATTAATACAAAACATATGACTAATTCAAGACAATATTAGTCTCAAAAGGAGCATTAAATGCCAGACAATGGAGCAGAAGGGTTGTGCTTTGAGGAGATGCTCTGACCACTCCACTTACATGACAGTAGAGTATAGCATTTCCCAGCCTGGCTTCCCAGGGAGATGGATCAGGTACATTGCTTAGAAGTTGACTGATTAAGTCTTCCAGCTATTTTACCCCCAGGGCCCAATTCTGCCTCAGGCTCAGCTGGCTCCAGGAAGACACAGAGCAAGATTCCAAAGTCAGGATTTTGCTCAAGCAGAGTGCAATCAAAATATCTTCACAAGGCTGGTGCACAAATAAAGATTATCAGCCAATAACTTAAACCAAGCTGTCATCTGATCAGCTGCCATACATCATTTCCCCCTAACTGGAATCAAAATGGAAAATACAAGATGTTTAAAATACTGAGTTTGAAATGCCAGGAATTACCAGTGGGTGTAACTTTGGGAGCACTCAGAAACTGCAAAACAATCAGGATGTTTGAGTCTGCATTTACTGAGTTAGGCCATTATGATTCCAGATGGGAATTTCATTACAGCTGGATGATGCCCACCACATAAAATAGAGAAAGATAAAATCCCTGTTTTTTCCATAGGACAAGCAAAATCTAAGGCCATGAAAATATTCAGCTCAGAGAGCATAAGAGGCCATCATGTGCTGCCTTTGGGCGAAAAAAGAGCTACTTCAGAAATATTAGGGTTCACTACAGCTGGGCCCCAGTTCCATCTGCCCACACTCCCCTGCATGGGAAGGATGGGAGAGCAACAGGCACAGACACCCAGTGAGCAGCATGCCAGCCACTTTGGAGGTTCATCACAGGACCAGCTGATCCAAAAGACTTTGCAAGGAATCAGCATTTAGTGTAACCTGGACAAGTGAGGCTAAAAAATGCCAAGCCCTAAACTGGTAAGTCCATGATGAACAGCACTATGTGTTTGGGTTCTTGCCAACAAATCCCTGAAAATTATAATGTCCCTGCCCTCAGCAGAGTCAAAAGTTTCCCAGAAGTACTCACAGAGAGGAAATACCCACCTTGGATTCAATCACTGCATCTGGAGGTACAAGGATCCTTCGAATAATGCTCAGTCCACTCTGCACAGGTAAAATTACCTGCAAATATAATGCACACACAATTCTCAACTGCTTTGTACTTGGCTTTCTGTCACTCAGATTCTACTGATGTGAAGGATAGTCCTCAGGCCATAATAGCTCTTCTCCTATTCCTATTCTTACGTGAACTTCCTTCCAACACAAATATGTCAGGCATTTCTATTTGCTCACCTGCCTCTTTCAAACTCATTGCCTCCACAAATGACAGGAAAAAATCACAATTTTAGTTCTCTAGTTTCTAAATCAGTACCAGCTGCTGAGGTTGCTGGATTTCCACTGCCTGGGTAAGGTTGTCATGAGGACAGTCCAGTATTCCAGTAAACCACAATAGCGATACTTCGGTGTTCTTCAGCATTTGATAGAACATCTGTCCTTCACCCACAGATGCAGGACATGCATCATCATGAGGAAACCTGCACTCAGTTTTGCAAATTCAACACCACTATCACAGTGTTAGAAGATCAGATATGGAATCCATGTGCTATTTACATACATTCAATGGCTAACAGGGAAATTCAGGACATTGAAAACTCTGATTAATCTTTCCCTCATCTACAAACAAAAGCTGATGCTTCCGGAACATTGTCTATTAGTTGTGTCAATGATAGAATAAATACAGAACCACAGGAGGTACCTTTAGAGGTGTCTGACCTGCAGGTAGAGAAAGACCTTTAGCCTATGAGACACCAAAACACTTTGGGCACGAGCTGCACACCTCTGTGCCATGGAGAGCTGTGGCAGGGGGGAGTGTGGGAGGTGGAAGACCTGCCCTGTCCCACCACGAGCCCAACCTTACAGCGCAGGAGGGCAGACAGAGATCCAGCCATCCCGGTGCAGCCATGGAATGAGGGTGAGCTGGTGGCTGCTGTACCGGGGTAGCACCACTCACACCTGCTTTTAAAGCCCTGGAGGATATGTGTTTAATAGTGCCTCTGAAACCACAGTATATTGTTTGTGCATCCTATTACTTCTTTTTTTTTTTTTCTTTCCTGCTGGAGTAGGACTTTGTTGACTCCTGTTGTGCTGGTGGTGCCCTACAGCCCCCAGAGCCTTTAAAGCAGAGCGGCGGTTCCTTGGTTGTGCTGTAGAGCTGATTATTCACTCTTAAGTGCTCCCCTTTTATCTTGCCTTTAACACTCTGTAAGATGTAGACAGAGTAGGGACTGTCCCTGAATATAGAAACTCATACCTAGAGCTCAAGTGAGGTGAATGACAATAAAATCTGAGTTCATTTTAGGTCCTCTGGATAATGGCACCAACAAAAGAAACATTTTGAAGAGTGCTTTGCAAAATCCATAGATACAGCACCACGGGCACCTTAACCAATGGCATTGCACTAACCTGCTCAACACGAGGATCTGAATTAATCACTGAATTTAATTTTCTGACAGCTAGTACATTTTCATCTGATACATTCTCCAGGTAGACTTGTCCTTTCATGAGTGTATTCTCTACACAGATCACTGCATCCATTCTCAGCAAGTGGTTATCCATGACAAAGCTGTAGTAGTGAACAGCATTCCTTTGATCAGCATCAATAAAGACTATATCAAAGTGCTCATCCTCAGCATGTAATGCCTGGAAAAAAAATTATGTTGGAGAAAACACTAATTATTTACCCGAAAGTTAAAGTCTTGCCATTAAAATATCCTTTCTATAAAGCCCAAACCAGAGGGAAATTTTTACTTTTAAAGCAACACTGCTAGAATTACTTCTGGAGATCTTGGGAGTTTTTCCATGCTTTGCAAACAATTCCACAGCAACAAATCCCTGAACTTCTCAAAGAAAATCAGGATATAAAAGAGGATGTCTCATCCCAGCTTGAGGTGTTGAGAGTCACAACAGAAACATCTGCATACCTCAAGTCAAAGCAAATTGATCCAGCAGGGTAAGGGAGAGGACTGGCATCAAACCCTGCCACTGACAGGCCACAGTAACTTATCGCTTCTCAAAAGAGTAACTATCAACGAATTGAAGAGTGGCAATTATATCACTCCAGTGAAAAAAAAGAGGTATAAGGCAGATCTGGGAATTGCAAACTAGTGAGTCCCACTTCAGTAGCAGGAAAAGGGTTGAAATCCTAATTAATAATAGAATTATAAAGCACATAAAAGAACAGGTCACAATAGAGATAAAGCAGCACAGACCCTATGAAGGAAAATGATGTTTCTTTAATCTAAAAAAATGCTTTGGATGGTTCAGCAACAGAGAGGATAAAAGAGAACTGACTGCTATCATCTAATTGGATTTTCAGAAATGTGGCACACCTTCCCTCCAAGCAGGCTGCTGATGATAATGTATAAAAGTGTTGATGGATGACCAGATGGGAGCCTTTACAGCCTTCTCCTGTGGCAGTTAATGCACTTGCTGCCCAAGAGGCTGCTATGGAATATTTCAGATTCCATCTGGGACTATTTAACTGCATCTGTGTGCGTTGCAATGAAACAACAGCTCATCCACCTATCTCAGCAAGCAGAAATGCTTTCAAGTCTTGGCATTTCAAGTGAAAAGAGAAACAATTATGTTTTCCAGAACTCACTGTTTCTATCACAACTTTTAATGGTACTTTTTGCATCCAGATTTCCCTTTTGTGTTTGGAGACATTGCGCACAACGAGTGATGAGTGATCCCCTCAGAGGTACCAGCAGAAGCATCAATAACAAATGGCAACAGAATTTGAAGACTGGTTTGTTTTGGGGAGTGAGGTTGATGGTTCCCAAACAGAGATTTCAGGAGCCTTTCTTGGGTGGGGAGTGTGTGGTTCAGACAAGAAAATAGCAGGAAGTGGATCGTCAAAGCTCTGAGTTCCTTTATTGTGCCAACTGGTGTCATTGTGAGCTGGTTAGTGGTGAGGGAATTAAGCTTGGATAGTCACATTTAACTGCAGATACTTAATAGCAGAGAAACTCTGCCAAAAGTATTCATGAGTCCACATTTAGGACACCTTTTGATGCTACACTATAATAAAAGAAGACCTTAAGGCCAAATATATACTGGTTCATAATAAATGTAGCAGAAACTGGGACATCTGGTTTCCTGGGATTCATCTTTTCATTTCACTATCAGTAAGAAAATTTTGCCCTGGTTCCCTCTTGAGCCATATTGGGGGAAAGCAGCAGAACATTTTTGCTACTGTGGAAGACCATCTTCTATCAGGTTGCACCTCAGTCAGTCTGTCCAATGTAGATGCTTCAGGAAGGGTCAGAAGATGAAAGCTGGGTCAAGGAGCCCATCAGGAAGAGAGATTAGAGGTCTCATTCCCCAGGGAGAAGAGCCAAAGCCAAACTTGAGTAATTATTGTGACTTATCACTACTTTCTGACTTGTAACCTTCCTGGGTGGAGGAGGTGGGGGGCAGACATTCAGAAGCAGATGTGACCATTGCTGAACATATGTTACTACTGCTCCATGGTATGGCTCCCTAATGAAAAAGAATCTCACTTTTATGCATTGGCTTCATTAGGTCCATATGGAGTTGTGTAGCTCTTTGGATATTAGCTGGACTTCTCACATCAACCCTCCTTCCATACTGCCTACCTGCTGACAGCTTATCTCCTTCTTATCTGTCTTCTGATACAGATAAACCACCTTTTAACTCCACAGCTTCCATCCCCCGAGGGTGCCTGGGTTGGATATGTATCCAGCACACGCCTGCCTTGTCCTTGCCCTGCCTGGGTGTGCAAGGCCACAGTTTCTAAGGCATTTCTCTTCTGCCAGTTCATCAGGTCCTGAATGACCAGCCACAAGGGTCACTTGGGCACCTTTCATTTCTTCTAAATATCCAGTATCTGACACCTGTAAGGAACTGCCTGAGTTTGTGCTGGGACCTGCCATCATTTGAGCTTCTTGTTTCCACAGCTTCAAAATTGCTGCTGAGTTTTCCATATTTAGCTGGAAACAGTTCCAGGACTCTAAGAGGAATCCATGAAAGTCCTTGAACCAGCTTTGCCTCTAGAGAGGGAGGGAAACAGCCACAGGAAGGGGAAAGTCCTCTGTTTCCTGGAGCTCCTTGGCTAGCAGAGCAGGGATCACTCAGACAGGTGGTAACTGTGGCCAGGGCCCCACACTGGAGAGGGTTTCCTCACTGGCAGCACCTGCTGCTGAACTCAGACAGCCAGAAAGGTAAAAAACTGCTCTACTGGTAGCTCTGACTGCAGAGTCAGGCACTGGAAAGATGGGTGCAGTGATGAAAAGGACAACTCCCTGCTGTCCCATATGGATGAGGGGGTTTAAGATGATGGATTGACAGCCCTTGCCCTCCCAGCACAGTCTGGGCCAGGCCCTGCCTGGGACCTCACAGCAAGCTGGAGATTCCATTGTCCTTTGCTTGGAGAGAGGCAGAACCCAGACGACTCCAACTGCGAGGAAAGATGAGATCCAGAAGGAAATAATCTGCCTGCAAAATATCCTGCTGAAACTAATTTCCTGAGTGTTTACAGTGCAATCCCTGCTCCTTGCTATAGAGTCATCGTAGATGGTAACAGATGGCAATAAGAGTTTTAATTCAGAGCAAACTTGGCTAAAATTAATGCTTTTGATTACAGTGAGTCATTAACTTCCTTTTGGATTAAAAAAAAGAGTAACACAGCATTCCATAGAGGAGATACACCAAAAGAGACCATGAGAAAGGGCACAGCAGCACTGCTGATGGATACAGCAAAAGACCAGGGAGAGGACATCCTGAATAAAAACATGAATGAATCTTCTGCCAAAGCTCAGAGAAAACCTGATTGGAGTCCTTCTCAGAGACAACATAAGGCACATACAAACTCAATCAGGAAAAAAATGACTGCCCAGTTCCTTTGATATGGATCATACAGTCAGCATATTTGTAATAAAGATGTACTCAAAACTTATTACCTTCCCTATGCCTTGTTCTTGACCTAAATGTAATAGCAATCCATCCTTAGGGCACACAGAATACATGAAAAAGTACAGCTTCCTTTTAAAACACCATTAGAATATTTTACTGTATGTGGACATACACTCTTGTTACTCCTAAATGCTATTCTATTGAGTACAGTTTATATTCACCGGCAAGGCGAAATCTCTAGGGAAGCCAGAGAGGGAATGCAATTTCTAGTAATAACAGCTCACAACAGTGAATACTATCCACTTATCCCCACAATTTCCAGCTATTTTGGACTCCTTTCTGAATTAACCTTTCATATCAAAAGGAGCAATTCTAGAGCACACTAGAGACTCCGACACAATTTCATGCATAATTTATTCACTCAGTTCAACATTAAACGCAGAGTCCTTGACTTTGTCAAGGTGGATTCTGTTGGCAGACTTCACAAGCAGCAAAACAGGAGAAATGAGATCTGCAGCTCAACCTCTTCACCTATTCTGTCTGCTAAAAGGAGGGAAAAAAGAAGAAAGCAAACCCCGACATGCTTACACAACGCCCTGCAATCAGCAGAATCAGCTGCAAACACGGTGTTATTTTTTGTGGTACATTTTCAATTTAAAATGGAAGGATCAAAATCACGGATGGGAATAATTTCCTGGTAGTTTGCATTCTGTCCGGACTCAATCCTGCAGCCATTGTTCAAGGAAAACTCACTGGGGATCGAAGGAAGCTCTTTGTGCAGGATCAGGCTCTTGCTGGCTGCGGATGCACGGCAAGGCACATTATCCAGGCATAGCACAACAGAGTTTAGACTTAAGGACCTTGTTGGGAAATGTTTTTAAATGCTGGCCCAGCACACACTGAAAGGGTAGCTAATTCCCACTAAGAGCATCAGTACCTGAGACTGAACCCAAGGAAAATTTCCCCTCAGTCCACATTTCAAAATATTATATAGAAATTATTGAGGCCATCGGGTACAGAGGCTTGTGCCATCGTGTATGTGAGATACATGCTTTGGTGGAGACCTCACTTAGCTCAGCAGTGTCTATCCCTCACATATGGGAAAGGTGGGTTTTAATCCTTGTGCTCTCAGGTGCCAAAAGAACCCCACTGTCTACTTGAGCTCTGTGGCTCCTGTCTGATACTTAGCATCCCTTGACTGGTCAAAATCTCAGATATTTTGCAGCTGGCTGTGATTTGGGACAGGAGGCAGGGGAACTGGCTAACTGCTCCACTGCTGTGGGATAAGACAAAGGGAGCATCAAGAGAGATGTTCTTCATCTTCAGAGAGCCTGGTCAAGGTGCTGCTATGGACTGATGTGCTGCCTTAACACTGTGAAAATTTGAGGAGCAGCAGATAAGTAGAGATCCTGCCCTGTTGCACTCAGATTGGAAGCAAAACTCAGTCATCATCACCACAGCAAGAAAACTGCATCAGACACCTCCAAAGAGCAAGTGGTGGGTGACCACCTCTGCTCTCTAATTTCTCCAAAGGGACAAGAATGAAACCTCGGGCTGCAGACACCATAGGCAACAAAGACAATCCTTGCCAGAGCTTGTTCCAGCTCTTCAGACTCTCATGGTGCTCTTCAACAAACATTAGCCAGCTCTGCTTTAGACCAGCCTCCCTGCAGACCATGGGGGAGAGAAACGTTGTTCTCCAACTCCTCCATGAAGCTGAGCTGTGAGAGGTGCCATCCCTCACCCACCTCCTGCCTGTGACTGCCTTGTCCTCCTGCCTTTCAGCATGTCCGTGGGGCAGGAGAAGAAGCCTGCTGCATCTCCAACCTAAAGCAGCCATCTGGGAGGGAAAAGGCAGCACACTGTTCACAGCCTGAGCCTCTTCTGCACATCCAGCTGTGTTCCCACGTGGCTACCCAACTCCAACCAGGCAAACCTCAAGAAGCCCAGAATGCCAAGGCACCAGAGAGGGCACCACATTCATTGCTTCAGCATTTACAGCCATTGTGGATTTGACCTGTAGGACAATCCTCATTGTCCTGATACCAATGACAAAACATCTGCCACACTGAGCAAAAAAAGTTCAGAGCCCAGTGCAGAAATCCTGCACAGAGAGGTGTCCCCATGCTGGGATCTCTCTCCTGCCACACACAAGAATCTCTGTTCCCAAGAGCTCTGAGAGGTATTTGAAGTCCTGAGCACCTGCAGAACCAGGGTCAGGATGTGCCTTCATGTTGCAATTGGAGGATATAAAATCAATTGCAACATTCTGTTTTAAGGATTTAATTTTCATGTCTTTGCTCCCTTCTTTAATCTCTACACAGCATGTATTCTGCCTGCCTCTAGATATTTTAATTCAGTCACAGTAAGTCAGTTGCACAGAATGGGCACTAGAGAGCAACAGCAATTCAATTAATTTCACACTCACTGCAGGGAGCTGGGATTTTAAATGCTGCACATTGCAGGTGATCTGTAACATTTCGTTATTCATATACTTGGCAAAGCTCTTTGTTTCTTTCTTATCAAACTTGGAGGTCATGAAAGCCAAAGGTCAGAAAGCTCCTGGTCATTTCATTTTAGAAATAAATATGGTACCTGTTAATGCAAGTAAAGTTACAATCAAGCTCACACTGACACAACCAGATTGAAAATAGAATCAAATGGGAATTAAATGTGAGTTGCTGGCAATCATAAGCTTTTCTCTTTCTTGGGACAAAGTCACTAGTCAGAATGAAACAAATACAGCTAATGCCTTATTTGTGTTAAGCTCATCACATTGCTCTGGAATTGAGAAATTGGGGTTTAATTTCCCACAGAGCTTGCAGTGGGGGAAAATAATGAGAAGTTGTGGCTGAATTAGAAACTTTTCCAAGACTTTCCTGATTCTTGTGAACATTGGGAGCAAGCTGTCTTTCTCAAGAGCTGGCTCAGCACGGTACAGTCACACTCTTCCTGTTTGTTATATTTGGAATTAGAGATCCGAAACAACCAACATCAAGTAAAACTTCCATTGAAGCCTACATTGAGAGCTTGTGATTCCTCTGATCAAAAAGCTGCAAGATTTTAGTTAAAAAGAAAAAAAAAACTATCCTGTACGATAGAGCTGTTCCATCATACACTGTGAATAAGAAATAACCTCAGTGCAACCATGTGTTCACATAGTTGTAAGCAAACCAGGGCCAACATCCAGCTTTTTGCATGTAAGGAATAGAACCTACCCGAAATGATTTAACTTGCCCTGCACAAGAGCTCCCAAACTCCCCTTCCAAACTGACTTTACCTCCAAGGTGTCTGCCACTGGTCCCACTCGCATGCTTATCTTTTTGCCATCTGAAGAATAATCAAATGCTTCCTGGCTGTTCACTCCCAGATAAGGCGCTTCTGCACATGCAAAAATTTTGCCATCGTCTGGCAATTCCTCTGCAATAGCAAGGATACTGTAACCTTTAAGCTTGCCAATTAATAAAATCTTCCTGGCTCTGATCAGATGAACAAACATCCTAAAAATTTGGCCTGTGGAAAGACAAGAAAGAAAAATTAAAAGTAAAACCATAGGAAAGAGGGGACCCTGTTAACAGTGAAAATTAGATGTGCCTTTTAAGTGATCATTAAAAATGAAAAAAAAAACCCTAATCTTAAAACACTCTCAAGTAAGGGTTTAACAACAGAATCTGACAAAATTTCATCTAAAATGCAGCTAAAAGACAACAGAATAAAGGGACTGGTTTTAAATGTAGAACCTTTATCATTAATGCTGCTATTGTTCAAGTGCTTGTTAAATAGTGCTTGAAATATTGCATATTTTAACATTCCCCCCATATGAAAATGGCTTTGAGATGGCTCCATATTCTTTCTGGAATCCAGTTAAAAAAAAAAAAATCACTACATTACCTTGCATTTGCTCTTAGAGTCATTATCCCCAGACAGCACCATCATTTAAGAAATTTATCATCAGTGGTGTCCTTCGAACAATGTATTAGTGTAATACATTATAAGAGTACTTCACTGGGATGATATATTAGTCCAAAGATGGGAACATCTGGGAAGAATGAATCTGGGAAGAGATTCAGTGTAATAGGCTTTATATGGGGATACAAGCCTGGGTATTGCTACTTGTAAAGGTACAAGTGCTTGGCCACAGGCCACCTTCACCACAAAAAGCACATAAACCCCTAACAGACACCTCCAAACCCAACCAAAATGATTTTTCCCTTCCTTTCCCTTCTAACAAGAGTAATGATCTTTTTGCTGCTCACTAAGAGACAGGGCTGGCACTGTGAATTAAAGCACTCACAAGCGTGTGCATGGACACGTGTGCGAGTATAAGGGCAAGGAGGAATGAGACAGGGAAAACTCATGCCAAAGGAAGATCAAAGCCTACAGGAGGTTCATATCTTTATTTTTTAGCAATTTCCCATATTTTCTGAGCATTTGCATGGCATTCAACCTCTCCTCACTCTAGACAAAGTAAAGAATTATAGCTTCAATGTCAGTGATAACCTTTACACCAATCTGGTGCAATTTTATCCTCTCAGTTGACCAATTTACCATTCAGTGAGCCAGAGGTACGTGCTTCCTGCAGCCTAACTCTACTTCCAGCTCCTTCAGCATCCCCTGGGACGTGATCAGGTGAAGTTTTTCTGGAAAAAGAAATAATTTTCAACATTACGGTAACAGCTGAAATCTGAGAGTCCTACATAAAAAGCAGCAACTAAAAGAGAATGCCTGGAAAAGCTCTAGCTGTGCATGGCCATGAAAAATTAGCCCAGAAGCATTACAAATATCCTAAATTCCAGTCCTAAGAGGACCTGGCTTGGCAATAAGCCCATCTCAATGCTGGCAGCCACCCCAGTCATAGGGACTTGGGAAGAAGGGGCTATGGGACCAAAGGAAAGCATTCCCCACGGTTCAATCTCAGATTCTTCCCATTTCCAACCAGTCCTGGACAGGTCTCTATCAGTCTGCTGGTTTGGAGTAAATTACCCTAGTTACCCTGGCCAGGTTTTGTTGAGTTCTACAACGATTATTTTTGTTTCAGCCAAAAAAAAGAGGTTTCATTGCAGAATAGGGTAAAAGATGTAAAATCTAAATTGTTTTGTAAGATGGAAAAACCATGGTTTTCCACACAAACTACTGAGAAAACATGGTGTCTCCAGATGCTATTTTACAGAAGCCAGGCCTCTGACAATGTATCTGGATGAAGTGAGATGCTACCTATTACATAGGGAAGGCAACAGATGACTGGAAGAAGTCCATAGCCTCCAGACAGGTTTGATTACCCTATCTAAAGAAAGCAACCATCAGAAATGGATGGTGATTATTCTGTAGGTCAGAATTTAGAGACATTTCACCTTTTTTTTTTCCTCCAGCTTCCCCCTCCCTACTCCTCAGTAAAATGAGAAAGAATTCATAACCCGTGTCAGCCACACTCAGATAATCCAAGACTTAAAGAGTAGAACATTTCATATAACCTCTTTTCTGCCCCTCACAAATGCTTTAACAACTTTAATAAGATAATGTATAGCTATTATCCTACAGCAAGTGTAAGTCAAACAACTATCAGCTATTATTTCAGCAACAGAACGAACACTCAGCTTTCCCATAATCCACAGCCTGGAACAGTTTACACATTGTCAATTTTAGACAGAACTGGCTTTTTCCACATATCAAAACGTGCACTGATAAATGGGAATTGTTTAGCAGACCCCACATGGCTAGGTAATATACTGTAGCTCAGAAAAGAATAATGAGGGTATCAGTTGGACTTCTGAATTAATGATACCTTAAATTAGTTTAATTAATTAGTTTAGTTACTAGAGTAATTTAGTTAGCAGATTAATTAATGTTTGTTGAGTGCTTGGAGATAAAAGCTGCATATAAAGGCTGTTATTAGAGGGTGGATCCAGAGGTGCAGGTTTTCCTTATTCTTTATTTATCCCAGCACCAATTTGATTGAGGGGCTCACTCTTTCAGCCTTCCAGCAGGAAGCTGGTGTTCCCCAGGATATGGTCAAACAAAGTCATTGCCATAGTTAACAGTCAGCTGGGAGAATATCTCCCAAAATTTAGAGTCAGGACTTCTTATTCTCACCTCCTCTCCTCTAGGCTGTAGGTGCACACAGACACACACATCCATGCATGGTTTGCTATATATTTGGGTGCAGTTAAAACTCTCATTCTTCTTCCTCCCATGTTTATGGCATGGGACAGAAAATCTGAGAACAGATTCACACACTCCCAGACAAAAGCACAAGGTTACAAAGGAGAGTTGGTACCTCTTAGAAGTTGCCATTGCATCCAGGTAAGGGTCTAGACCAAGAGCAACATCAAGAGCTTTTTGTAAGTAATTCCTGAGCTGCTCAGGTACACGGGAGTCATTGAGAGCTATTTCTTTGGCTTTGAGAAGGTTCTCAGCAATGTGTCCAGCAGGGGTTTCTGAAATGGAAAATAAAAGGAAGAATAATGATTTTGGGACTGCTCAAATCAGCGGAAGAGGAATTTGGAGTATAAAAAAACAAGCACACTTTTTTTTAATAGAAAATACAGGTTTTTGAATTACTATGAAAACAATAGTGGAAACCTTTTCAAATTGAAAAAATAGTGTACTTCTAATAGATTTTTGTCACATGTATTCTCCCTTTTTGGGGGATCAGCACAGCTGATCAAGGATAAGAACATTTTAAAAACACGAATTTTGCTTTTGAAGCTCTGAGACAAACATCAAACACCAAACAAAACCCACTCCTCTAGGTAGCTTTGTCCTTGGAGAAAATAGAGCTCTTCCCGAACTGTTCTTGCCAATCCAGGCAGATCCTCTAAGCTAGGAGATGCAGACACTGGATTTAGCTTTGTGAAAAGGAGGATCTCCGCTACCTGTGTGTCAATGGGATGCACAAGTGTCCCTGATATGTGTCTGTGCCACGGAGGCTGCTGTGCACAGAGTCCATAGGGCAACCCGTGATGCTCATGCTAAAATAAAATTACACCTGTCCTAGTACAGCCAAAGTGACAAACACTCAAACACTGCTCTAGTGGAAAGTGTCCCTGCCCATGGCAGGGGCTTGGAACTAGAGGATCTTTAAGGTCCCTTCCAACCCAAACCATTCCATGATAAAAACTATTATGCCAGATCCATGATGGCACAAAATCAAAGGTAGTCTTCAACTAATGACTTTAAGCAGGTTCATGTAGCAATCAGGCAGGAACAAAACCTCCTAACCCTTCTCCTGCCTTCAGGCTGCCACAACAGTTTGAGTGGTGATCCACCATCCTGAACTCACTGTTTCTTGGGGAACAAAACCTAACTATGCTTGAATCCACCAGCACCATATGGCAGAACTGCCAGTACCTTTTCATCAGCCAGACCCTGCCAAAAGCTGATCATTCAGGTAAAAAGAAACAGGCACAACACTACAATATATCAGTGTTTCAAAGACTGCAGAAACATCTCCAGGATGTAGATCACCCTGCCCTGAGGCCAACACAATGCTGCCCATGGCGCTAAACTTGCTCTGAGACCCCAGAAAACCCTTATGGCATCAGTGCCACCATGGACCACAGGGAGACATGGCCCCAGAGAGAGAGAGAGATAGTTCATAGAAACTCACCCACTCCTCAAGTGTGAGAGCACATGCTGGGTTATGAAAGCACCTGCAAGACCAGATGTCAGAGACACAGGGCAACAGGCTGTGAGTGTAACTGGGGTGGAGCAGATTGCCCCTGGCAAGAGTTCATTCCCTACGACAGAAAAACTGCAGAGAACTGAATGGAGTGAGTGAAATGAGGACATGCTTTATATCTGCAGCCTTCCAGCACCTGAAGAGAGCCTTCAAGGAAGATGAGGAGAGACTATTTACAAGGCATGTAGTGACAGAACAAGGGGCAATGACTTTAAACTGGCAGAGGGTAGGTTAAGACTAGATATTAGGAAGAAATTCTACACAGAGAGTGATGAGGCCCTGGCACAGGTTGCCCAGAGAAGCTGTGGCTGGCCCACCTCTGGAAGTGCTCAAAGTCAGGTTGGACAGGGCTTGGAGAAACCTGGGATAGTAGAAGGTGTCTCTGCCCATAGGACGGGGTAGGATCTAGTTGAACTTTTGGTCCTTTCCAAACCAACCCTTTCTTTATTCTATGATATGATGATTTACATCTCATCCCAATCTCTTGTCATCAAATGGCAAAGGGGCAGTTTATGTCTCATTCAGCAGTTCTATAATTAATTGCAAGTGCAAGAATAACCACCCCCTTCCCAAGCCACATTAGTTGCTGCCCTCAATCCAGCTACATGTTGAATGAAGAGAACACACACTCCTTTCACAACTGCATGAGGGAGTATCCACAGGCTCCTGCTGCACCACTGGAGAATGCTGGAGGTCAGGATTTGCTTATCCTCCCTGACAAGCACTCTGAGGTTTTTGTTAATTTAGGGGGGAAAAAACACGCTTATAATCCCTGTCGGATTTTAGTAATCTTAATGTTATCCTTCTGAATGAGTAACAGAGAAGGGTTGTCTGACACACAACTGCAAACAAGACTTACCTCCCGCTGTTTTGTAACCTGTGTTATAACACCAACCGCGAGTGCCAAGAGGTGCTGCTGGGGATGGCAGGGCATGCCAAGAGCAGCTCTCCATCCAAGATTATACAATCTTTTCGGGGAGTGCTGCATTTTTTGCAGCCTGGTGATGCCTTGGGCCAACAGCAGAGGTCAGAATTGCCTTCATTTATGCAAGCATCAGACAAGTCAGAGCAGAGCTCAGGGCTGGCTGCCCAGCCCAAGGCTCTGAGCACTAACGTGAGCTAAACTTTATGTAACTACTTTTTTTTTTTTAATGTTACTCCAGGAAAAGTGATTCGTTTTAGTACATATTTTGCAAAACCCCAGCAAAACTGCTGGACTGTAATAAGTACTAAACTAAACTGTATGTGTGGGACATCAGTGTCCCCTGAGCAGGCAGACAGTGCCATGGAGGGACTTGCTGCTTCAGAAGTGAAATTAAACCCTGCGGCTTGTTCTTAGATGGCACTTTTTGGGTGGGGAAAAGAAGAGGACCCTTTATGATTTGCAAGGGGCTGCCCAGGAAGAGGCACGGAGACAAGCACACAAGAAGAGAGTCTGGATTTGGCAAAAACAAAGCAAAGATGCCACATTCAAAGATGCAGGGCCAGATCCTTGGTTCCCATTTTTGGGCTATCCTCATTTCACCTTCCAGCCTCTAGATCTGTTTTGCAGCCCCAGTGATGACTTCCAGAAGATCTCCCCTTCCCAGCCAGGGCAGAGCACTGAACCTGATCCACCTGAACACTTTGCTGCCAAGGCAGCTCGGTGCTCCAGTGCCAGGCACTTTGGCAGGAGCTGGTCAGGGCTAAACACTTGGAAATCCAGTCTGATAAAATCATCCGGAACAGTTCCAGCCATCATATTCACCAAGGCACCTCAGGCATTGACAACAGCTTATCACAACACTCACCACTTTGTCTAGTGTGTAAATACACCTCAGCTGTGGCATTTTATCAGGAGATCCTCATTATGGAAACCACCATGCACTGCCTGAGCTGTTTCCTGGCCCCACCAGAACAATGCATGCAGAACTGCAGCCTCTTAGGAGACCCTGTGCTACTGCTTGACCCAAACAAATTAACCCCAGCTGTGAGATACACCCACTGTATGGATGGAGCTGTAGCAGAAGGAAGAGGGAGTGTGGTTGTTGCACATCTGGGGCTGCTCAGTGGCTCCAAACCCACCACCCACAAGCCCAGGAAGGGCAATGCACAGGGGCACAGGCATGTCATGGCCCATGTGGGGGGGACAAGGGTGGGGTGGCAGTGTGGGCCAAACCCAAGTTGTGGCCATTAAACACTGCAGGATGTCATAAGCAGAGCTCAGCCTCAGCATGAGTAGTTCCAGAGCCCACAGCAAAGCCAGCAGTGATGGCTTGGGGACAGGTAGTGGCTAAGGGGTGGAGTGGGAGCACAAGGAGGAAGAGGGAGAGGAGTGGGGAAGCTGCTGCCCTATAGCAGGAACCAGGGAGCTAAACTCTGACTGAACTTCAGGAGAAAGCAAGGAAAATATACACCAGCTGATATATTTTCTACAGATCCTACTGATAGAAAAAAGAAGTAGAAAACTAAATCACTCCAGTGCTCCATTAAGGAGAAAAATTATTTATAAAACAAGCATCCCAACCCATCAGAAATTAGTCATAGCAAAAACTCTCTTGCCACTGTGTTCACCTTCCCACCCCACCTCCTTCTCCTGGGAGCATCCTCCTCCCTCTACTCCATGTTCCTGCAGACCCATCTCCCCTGCTCAGCCTCCCTCCTCTCCCCAAAAAACCCACCCTCTGCTCCTCTTTGCCAAGCCACAGAGCCTGCAGGTCACGTCTCTATGGGGAAAGTGGGGACCCAGGACCGGGGTATCAGGCGGTGTCCCCTCCTGCCACACCATCTCTCCTGGAGTTCCTCACCCCACACAGGGAGTTTACCTGCAGGATTATGCATGTTCCTTCTTGTCCCCCGGCCTCAGAGGGTGCTGTGGTGGGTTTGCTGCCTCTGCAGAGCAGCAGGTCGGTGCTCAGGGATCCGTCGAGGGGACGGACTTGCCCGCGATCACCCGGGCAGAGCCCCAGCGCTGGGGAGAGGCTGCGCGGGGAGGATGGCCCCGGGCGGGGGCTGCACCCGCCCCAGCTGCATCCGCCTGTCCCACCCAGACCACAGGAAGCAGGTGAGATCCAACAGCATCTGACATGAAAAAGAACAAAAAAGAGCCGACTTTTAACGCCTTTGGTTTACATAAGTTCACATCCTGACCTTGGGAAGCTCCCGGCTCTCCAGGAGATAATCAGCAGTTTCATAACTTTCCCGTTGCATACCACAGACATGTCTCCCAGCTAAACAATCAAGTATGAGGCCAAAAAAGTCCCAGGACTCTGAACCCCAGATTATCTACAAGGTCACTACTGACCCATGCAGCCAAATATTAGAGCAACCCCTGCTCTGGGGTCCAGGTCTCTGCATGGGCTGGGGCAGGTTGTGTCACTTGGGTACAAGTTGACCTGCAGCCCCAGAAAGGGTCTCAGGGTTGCAAGGGCCAAGGGGGGCATTAGGGGGAATCAGTGGGAGCATCCAGAGTATCCAAAAGCCTTCACTGGTCTGCAGCAGATTTGGGGCAGAAAAGGTTGGTGAAGAATTAAAGCAAAGTCATGAAATAGCATCTGATGGAGCCGAGGTCGATTGTCTCCTTTTCACACAGATGAAACACAAACTGAAGCTAATGGGGAATTATGGACTCCCCCATAACATGAACAGCATCTTTCACCTCTGAGGTGTGTCACCCTGAGCTCATTTAGTCAAGGACCAACCCAATGTACCTGCATAGATTGCGGAGAGGGCCCAGGGCTGCACAAGGGAGGTGACAGATCTTCACACAAGGCTCTTGGCAGCCCCTCTGCAGGATGGATGGTACAGGAACATGGCAGTCATTGGTGCTGGCAAGCAGAGGGACTTTGGAAAGATAATTTGTCAGCTTCTGAAATGAAACAGAAGACATTTCAGTGCCCCCAGAATAGAACATGGAAGTATAAGTGAAAAATAAGTAAATGCACAGCATGAAAGAGTAGAAGAAAAGCAAATAAAGTAAGTCTCAAAGCTGAATGAACTTCTATTAATTAAAACAAATAAACAAGACAAAGAGGACAGACCTCCTGGTATACCTAAGATTATTCTATTTTATGATTTAGTAAACAACAAGCTGCATTAGAATTGCAGTTCCTGCAGAAAGCAATCCAAATTGTGTTTAGATTGGGAGTTAAATGTCAGAGGAGTATTTTGTAAACAGGCTAAGTATGCCATCTAATCCACATCCACTAGCTTTGAAGGTGACTTTGGGCAAGTTGTTTCACTTCTGTGAGTCTGTTTTCCTCCTCTGTAAAATGGGGATAAGAGTGTCCTCTTGGCAAAGCTCTTTGTCATCCGGAGATGAAGCCAGAAGCGAGACCTAGAGTCAGGAGTTAGACTCTTCCTGAAGCAGGGCTATGTGGCTTTGGAGATTATTCTTCTAGCTCATTACCAAGAGTAATTTTGAGACAGATGAAGGTTCCTAAGTGAGTTTGGCTGCAATTAAGCCTTTAAAGAAATGAAGTGGTCTTGTCCAATGGGTTCTTAAAGACCCATTTTTTTCCAGCCTCTTCTTTTACATCTGGTTTTGGTTTTCTTGATCTCTGTTTCTCAACAAGGACAGCTTTGAGAAACATTGCCAAGAAAGTGACAAAGACAAGTTTGTACCTTCAGGCACTGCTGGTGAAATCAAAGGAAGATCTCCCTGTGCTCAGCACACAGAACTATACACCAAGGGAATATTTGGTGTGGCAAGTTGAGCCCGGGGCCCTCCAAAAGCCCCAGCTGGAAGATTATATGGAAAAGTGAATTGTGCATCCCTTGGACACTTGGGGATCAAAACTCAGCTCATGCCCCAAGCAGTCCTTCAGGAGATAAATTCT